ATTATTCATGTTTGACCGTGGCTTTTTGTGCGATAGTTTGAGTTACGTTTTCTTCTTCCTGAAGCAAGGGTGTTGCTTAATTCATTATTCATGTGTGACCCTGCCTTCCTCCACCACCTTTTCTACCATTTTTAACTTGCATTAATCTCTTTTTTGCCAGGTCTAAAATAGTTCTGCACCTGGATTTTGACTTCTTATTGTTTATAAGCTTGGTGACTGTTGAAGGGATTGTGGTGGGAGGGATGGTACTTTGAAATGTAAATAGAATTTGTTTGTAAGTGTGGATTGTAAAGTACAAAGTTTCACTTTTAAGAATATGATTCATTGAATGTTGGTCATTTGCATGCGCCATATGTTGACAAATGTGATTTTTGATTCATGATTTTAACTAAATATGCAACTGCTCCCTAAACTTCTACTTTAGCCTAATTTTATTTTTTGGTTAGCTATTTCCTAAAATACATCTTTTTGTTGTTGTTGGGAGTGCTTTTTCATTTAGTAGATCCTGAACCGTGCAGGCACTAAAGCAGCTACCTTGAGGAAAGATCGAATTAGCCACAAAATTTGGTATTGCCAAAATTGAACCTACCCAAATTGTGGTGAAAGGCACCCCTGAATATGTTCGCTCCTGTTGCGAGGCGAACCTGAGGTGCCTTGGTGTGGACTACATTGATCTCTACTATGTACACCGGATTGACACATCAGTACCTATAGAGGAAACCGTATGTGTCTTGGTTCTTCTTTTCGATAAAGTTTATTGGTTTACTGGTTTATTGGTTTATTTTTCTTTTAAAGCTTGCTGGTTTACCTATAGAGGAAACCGTACCTAAAGTTTACTGGTTTATTTTTCTTTTAAAAAAACAAGGAGGTATTATTGGAGTTTGAATAATTTTTTTATTAGTATTATTTGTAATTTTTTGTGTATGTGATGTTTGAATGAAATTTTCTTCTTGAATGGCATGTGGGGGAACTTAAGAAGTTGGTGGAAGAGGGTAAAATAAAGTTCATTGGATTATCTGAACCAAACCCAAACACAACCATATCAGCATACCTTTCTACTTAACCAACCCCTATGGGCCCTACCTTTCTACTCAACCATATCAGCATTCTTCTGTTGATTACTTGCAAGAACATTTCTAAGCAATTGGTGTTATGATCCTACTTGCATGCCTTAAATACATTTCCCATCATTGGTTTGAAAATTTTGCTATTTATTCACTATATATATAAATTCACTATTAAATAAATGATTAAATTCACTATATATATAAATTAAGTTAGCAACCTTATTTAAGAGCTCCATTTTGATCATCATACTTAGGGGAAACAACTACACGGGGTAAATGTGGAAAAAAAAATTACAAATTAGTGTTAAAATTTATAAATTTTAATAATAATGATTTTATAGTTTGTTTTTAAGTTACTATGAATTTTAAATTTCTCTCTGATCTACTTTGAATGGGTTTCATTTTGAAACGTGTTTTGATTTCTCAAAGGTTTTATTGTGTTTGAATTTGTGTTTCTAAGATTTGGGTTTGGGTTTGTGATTTTTAATGTGTTGTAATGTTTATTAACTGGGTTATGACTCCCATTCGAAACTCAACCTTGAACAGCAATGGAATTCAAATAGGAAGAGAGAGACGTAGAGGAAAAAGAGAGACAGAGCTATCTGCTCAAAAAAGAACAAAAAGAAAAAGAAGTAGAAGAAGAAAAGAAAAAGTAGCTTTAGTTAAATAATTGCACAGAATTGTTTAAAGAATAATGCTACAGGATTGTTATTGTTTAAATAATTGTGTTTATATTAACAATTTATTTATTTTTATTAAAAAATAAAAAAATGTCGAGTAGTTTTGATTTTTCAGATACTTAACATATATTTGTGAGAAGCTAGATAAATCAGTAGTTTGAAAGTGTTAAAATCTGAATGTGTTAGAATCTATTACTAGATAAATTAGTAGTTTGAAGGTGTTAAAATCTAAAGGTGTTAAAATCTGGAGTTTAAATTGAGATCTGTTAAAAAAAATGGTGAATTTAAATTTGTATGAAAATTAAGTATAAATTGAGTTTATGAGTCATGTTTATATAGAAAATGCTTTTTTGTGTGTGTAGATAAATTTGAACTCAAAATTTAAATTAGGTTTAAATTGGGTTACCTTAAAAAAATGATCACAAAAGTGAATTTTGAGAAAGAGAAGAAATAATGGGAGTGGTGATTTGTTCAAAAAGTGAAAAGAAGAGTTTTTTTATTAATAGAATTTTGACTTCAAATTCTTATAATAAATTATATTTTTTAATTTTTATTTTAATTTTATTGGGGTGTATTTATGTTTGGTTATTTTTACAAAATTCATTTCAAAGTCAATAAATTTGATAAATTACATTTTAAATCAATACTTTTAAATTTAATTATATTTTAATCTTATAATTAATTTAGACACGGATATACATTTTTAAACCTCCAAACCAACCCTGGGGACTTGCCTGGTTAGAATCTATTACCAGATGAATTAGTAGTTTGAAGGTGTTAAAATCTAAAGGTGTTAGAATCTATTACCAGATAAATCGGTAGTTTGAAGGTGTTAAAATTTGAAGGTGTTAGAATCTATTGATAGAAGTTGAACTTTTTGAGCACTTTCAAGTTGTTGTAAGCTTTAAAGACTTTGGAAATTAGTTTATCAAAACGAAAACCATGCGGATGGAATGTGATTGGTTGAATGGAAAAAGCAAGCCAATAGAGAGTGAAGTCTAAAATAAAAAAAAATTAAAAAAAAAAGAAAAATAAAAAGAAAGATCTTTGGGTGACCCACCATCAACCAGGAAGAGGTCAGAAAATTCCACGACTTTTGAGAAATCAAAATATTGTATTTATTATTATTTTTATTTTTAAAATCTTAATTTATTTAGCTTTTATTGTTTGTTGGACAAACTACTAAATTGAAATTTTTAAACAACATGATAATTATTTATTTGGTAGTATTATATATATCAATGGGTATAAACAATAGAATAATTATTTGTTTGCCGACAGTGGGAGTATTTCGGTGCTTCTTTGTGAGTTGCATCACCGGAGTTTTAAGTTATTTCGTTGTTACTTTATTTGAGTTTTATAAAACTTATGATACAAGTAAAATTGTTACAATTTTTTAAAAGGAATAGTATTTCTTTATATTTTTTCAATATTTTTGTCAAAAAAATTACAGAATTCATAATAAATTTTAATATGATACTTATTAATTACAACTGTATTTTAATCACAACATTATTTATACCGTGCCTTCAGGCACGGGCATACGCTAGTAATGAAATAAAAAACAATGATGATTGATCAGTTTAAGATTGCAACGATTGAAGAATGACCGATGATTAAAGAAGAATGAACATAGATTACTAAAAAACAATGAATAATAAAGAACAGTGAATGATAATTGAACAATGATTGAACGGTGAACAATGATCAGTGTTCAATAATTAATGAACAATGATAATTGAACAAAGCTTCAACGTCAATAGTTAACAAATCTCTTAAATATGTATTCAGGATAAGATTATCCAGAAAAAAGAGTAAAAATATATTAGTTTGTACGTTATGAAGAACACACGTCTTACTAAAGAGTTTAGGGAATAAAATATTTTAAGATATCCTTTACCCACTAATATATTAAATTAATTAATTACACAGGTCCATTGTTAAGGCTAAGCAAGTTTAAGAGGTGGTTTGAGATGTTCTAAATAAGTGTATTTTTTGACTTTTATAAAAAAAATGTAAAAAAAAATGTATAAAAAAATAGAGAAAGTGAATATAAAAATAGAGAAGAGATGTTGATAAATGCAACCCAAATAAGTATATATATGTAAAAAAAATATACTTTTTTAGTGCATGCCAAACACCTACTATAGATACAAAATCCTATATTAGTACCGACAACATGAGTTGAGATCCTTTCCTTCAACTCTCTTCTTATCTCTTTACTTGTAACAGTGGAGATGCACTATAAATTGATTCAACGGTCCAAATTTGGACTGAAAAAACAAATTTAAATTTGTTTTATTATTTATTTATTTTTAAATAATCAAATCTAAACCGTTAGATAAACTCAAAATATAGCTCTACTGTTGCAATCAGGAAGAGAAAGTTTAAGGAGGGGGTCTCAACTCCCGGCAACACAGCCGTAGAATGACCACCCGCTAGTCTCACCCAATCACCAAAACCCTGAAGACAACGCGTCCATATAAGAGCCTTTCGCTTCAAAACTAGAAGATTCGTAGGCTTCTGTGGGTAAAGACAAAACAAGGGATACCAAGAAACACGGCAGAGAGAGAGAGAGAGAGGCAATGGATTATGGGGGGCGTTCTAACAGAGCAATCTTTCACAAAACGACCCCTAATCACGGCCCATCATCCATCCATTTTCGCTACCAAACGAAAAAAACCACCGGCTTCTTCCACAGGGTCGTACACTAGCACTCTTTCATTTGCTTTTGTTGTTTATTCATTTTTTAATTCCTTCTAATTTTCCCAACCATACGAACCCATTGCCCACTCCACTTTCTTGTCACATTTAACTTTTACCACACAAGCATATTCACATTTCATTTTCACACCCCACTTTTGTTTTCTTCTTCAATTTTCATATAAAGAAATAGGCCCCCGTTTGTTTTGGGCTATAGGGAGGGTATTGGGACTAGTAATACCAAGGTATTACTAAAGTCCCTGTTTGTTTGCAGAGAAAGGGTTGGGACTATTAGTCCCTTGGTATTGCTAATACCCTTGGAAGGGGGATTGGTAAGGAGGAGGTAGAGATGGTATTAGAAAATAGTGAGGGGATTAGAAATTTTTTTATTTTTTATATATTGGGAATTTTTTTTTTAATATAATGTTTAATTTTTTATATTTTTTTATTTGTTTTATTATTTTATATAAAAATAATTTAACAATTCCTCATTATTAATCCCCTCACTATCAATCCCCTCACTATTAATCCCCTCACTATCAATCCCCTCAGCGCAATTAACCTAATGCTAATGTCTTAGAGAAAGAAGAACTTGGTTGACCAGCTTGTCTAGATTCAAGAAAGATGAACCAGAGGAACTCTCAGTGGTTTCTTGAGCCAATCTCTTCCACTCCACAGCCTTTTTCTTCATCTCCTTCCCTTTCTCTCCAACCATCAACTCTCTCACAAGGCTCTCAACTTCATCTTTCTTAACATCATTATCTATCTCCATCGCTATGCCCCATTGGGTGCAACAGTGCCAACAATTTGTTTGTTGCTCTGCGAAAAATGGCCAACAGACCATTGGAACTCCACTCGAAATGCTTTCAAGTGTGGAGTTCCACCCAGAGTGAGTTAAAAACCCTCCAATAGACGGGTGGTCAAGAACTTGCTCTTGGGGGCACCAACTTGCCAATAAACCTCTTTCTTTTGTTGCTTCCATGAATTCTGGTGGAAGAACAGCCAAGTCGCCAGTGACAAGATCAGGTCTTATTACCCACAAAAAGGTCTGGTTGCTATTAGCAAGTCCCCAAGCAAACTCAACCATTTGGTTTGGTGTCATGACAGTGATGCTTCCAAAGTTCACATAAACAACAGAGTTGGGTCCTTTTGTGTCGAGCCATTCGAGGCACTGGGGTTCTTCTTTCCATAGATTTGATCCTATCAACTTGAGACTATCATCGTTGATTTGATTCGTTAATAAGTGTAAAGGTCCAATAGTGTAGATTGGAGGGAACATGGATGAAAGAACCTCCAAAACGTTATGTTCTAATTTCTCAAATGTATTGAAAATAATGGCAGAGCCTCTACGAGCTCTCTCAGCTTCACCACACACAAAATCAATCATAAAATCGCTTAGATCTGTGGTTCGAAGAAAACTTGGTAAATCCTTCAAACGTATACCTTTCATACCAGGTATCCAATCGATAACTGTATCCAAATATCCATTTGTCATGCAACTCTTATCTGCACATCACCCCCAAAAAAAAATATCAGCACCAAACTTACGATATTGTATTGAAAATCTCGATAAATTCATAAATTGATAATAATAATGATAAAAATCTTAAAAATTTTATTAAATTTTTTATTAAATATCTCACATGAATATAAAACTTATATCGGGATCTTTTGGGAGGCCAAAAAAAAAAATTTTACTTTTTACCTATTTTAGATCACATCACCTCTCACATTTTTTACTCACAAAAAGATAAAATAAATTAAAAAAATTAAAAAATTAATTTTTTACAAACTTTTCAAAACACTGCATCATATAAATCCCATATAAATTTCACATCTATATAAAACATTTAAAAAAAATTAATAAACTTTTAAAATCCCCAACACTATTCAAACATTATTCAATTAATAAAGGTAAATATATATAGAATAGCAGTAAGGCCAAGTTTGGGAAGATTAAATAAGTGTACTTTTTGACTTTTTATGAAATATGGGTTGGATTTGGGTTGGGTTTGAAGTGATGTGTTAGAGAGATGATGTGACTTAAATAAGATGATATGACTTAAATAGGATAGTGACTTTTTGACTTTTTGAATTTTTTGGAGGATGCCAAACTTGACCTAAATATCAACGCTTGCCACACTTTTCCAGGACTACAGCTGCAGACTCATATATCTTTTTTACATTTATTTCTCTACTCTATCAATTTTATTTTTTTATTTTTGTAATCATGTAAATTTTTAAATTTTTTATTGACTTCAAGATCAAACTAACGACCCATCATGTGATAGAGAAATTAATCTAATTTAGATGAGAGAAGACGTGTTATCAATCCAATTAAAATAAAAAAAATAATTAGATATAAATATAATTTTTATATAAAAAATTCACACACGTACAAAAATTACAAAAATATTTACAATTTTAAAACAACAACTCTAAAGAGATAAGGATCTCCAATTCTCAAATATTCTTATCTCTGTATCTCAAATCATTCACAATTATTGAATATATCTTGAGATTCTCAAATCTTGAAATTTTCATATAATCTAAGGATTATAAGTGATTTGGGACGGAAGGACAAGAATATTTATGAAGACTAATGTTTTGACCTTATTCTTTTATACCTTGCCCCGTGCTCTCGTTAGAACTCTCCCTAGAGGTCTGTGTCATCGCCGCAAAAATTTTATATCTGAATTATTTTAATTAACAAGAAAAGGTGTTAATCTAGCATACTGAATGCATGTACGTGTGTATGTGTGCATGTGATGTATACATGTAATCATATTAATATACATATTAATTGAATTAATAAGACCTTTAAGTGGAATATAACTCTTATCGATAAGATTAGGATACTGTTCATAACCCATGAACCCACAGGCACTAGTTGTCCAGAAAAGAACTTCAGAAAGGTGATGTGAAAGCCTCTTTGCTGGAGGAGTTTGGAGAGCTTGAGCATGGGGTTGATGTGGCCTTGAGCTGGGTATGGTATACAAACTGCATGAGGTTTTTCTAACTTGCGCATCGAACCCATTCTCTCTCCTCCTCCTCTCCTCTCAATTGGGATATTTTAAATTGCTTATGAATCACACATTATGGTTCTTGTTTTGTTTTATAGACCCATAAACAACAATTGTGTTAAATGTTTACGCGCGTGGTGATGGATGGGGGATGGTGACATGGTGCGCAGTGGGCAGTCGCACATTAAAAAAAAAAAAAAACATTTTTATTTATGATCAAAAATTATATTTAATTTTTAATTTTAGTGATGTGATAATTAATTAAAATATTAAAGGTAATATTTTTTTTATAATTGTTGTTTATTTTCTTAGTAAAAAATTAAATTAGTTACAATTATTGAATCGACTTAATTTTTTTTTGGACGAAATACATAAAATACCTGATAAAATGAAAGGTTCAGATTATCGAAATAGGACATGTAGTGAGCCCCACGGATCCAAACAATGCTCTCCAGTTCAAAATCTGAACTAGGGGGGATCATCCTCCTAAAAATTATATTTAATTTTTAAATTTAGTGATGTGACAATCAATTAAAATTTTTAAAGTAACACTCTTTTATATATATGCACTAATTATTAACCAATTATATTACTTACATATCATTAAATTTAAAAAATTGATTTAAAAAGTGAGTTTATATAGTGTTTTCTGGATAAAAAAAAAATCTTTGCCGACTATTAGATGGAAAATAACATATGTTCTAACTGACTATTCAATAACGCTGTGATTGGTTAGGAGATTTGGAAAGAGAAAGGAAAAAAGTACGTGAAATTAAATGAAATATAGGTATATTTTATTCACATTTCATCTATCTTTTTCATTTCTCTTTCTAAATCTCTCCTCAAATCCTCTAACTAAACACAGCATAAAGAAAATGATGTACGGGTGCAATCAAGATAAATTGGTTAATAATTATAAAATAAACAAGAAAAAATTTTACTTACATATTTTAATATAGTGTCACATTCTGAAAAGTGTATTTAATTTTTGAATCTAAATATTAATACTCAGGTCTCATTTAGGGACTTTTTATAACTAGAAAATTAAAATGTCGTTACAAATTGTTATATCACTCTATTAAATATTTCTATGTAGACATAAAAAAAAAAAATAAGTAAATAAAAACTTTACAAAAATAATGTACAAGTCCACCTTTTGAACTCATTTTCTAAATTAAATAATATTTAAATAATATGATTGATTGATGGTTAGAAAATATATGAGAGAATGTCATATTTAATATCCTGATTGATTCCCACATTACTTGTTTTAAAAATTGGATCTAATTTTTTGCGGTGGTGCTACACGTACCAATTAATATACTACTTAATGTACCAACATATGTTATGATATTATCATTTTAAAACTATAACCCTCACCCATTATATAAATTATAAAGATTTAAATTTTCTAAAATTATACTATATCATATGTTAATATATTAATTAACGGATAATATATTATAGTGTACAAACACAGAAATAATATTCTCGTATAATCCTGTTGATCAAATTTGCACTCCTCCAAACATCTTTATTTTACGACCTGAAAACACAAACGTGAGCTAGCTAACGGGGGTGTGCCGGAAACCTTTCCAATGCCTTAGTCAGCAAAATAGACAATAGACACAAAAGCTCTATATATTCGAGAATAGAAATCGTGATACCTGTACATAGGTCCTGCTATGAGTTTTTATAGATTCTGTCTGGCACAATCCTAGAAGGATTCCAACTTTCCTTATAAGAGTCCTCCTATGAATCATACTCCCAATGAAGAATGTCTATCCTGATAACACTCTACTTACTACCAACCAAGTGAGATGGTTTTCACCTTGACTAAGTTGGTGCGGTTTAACCGAGCTAGCTTATCTCTGTCGTGCTCTCAACAAAGTAATAATGTATATGGCGTTCGACCGAGCTATACCTAGCTCGGCCTCCCTTCTTACTAATACCACGTCCAGCTACTAGGACTAGCTTTAGATAGCCTGGTTAAACCCCTCCCGAAGTCTCTGCCCAGTTTGGTACCTAGACGACCTGGGACCGAGCTATTCAAAGCCCATACCCCAGCCCTTAGCTCGGCCCAAAACAGAGATTAATGGATCATAGCTTGGCCCAATTTCTCCTTATAAATTACCCTCTCAATTGCCTCTTAATTCCATTTGTGAAGCATGATTGGGATTATTATCTTCAAGCCGTGCTAAAATTCTCAAACCAACCGGACCAACATAATCAACCCAACCAAGTTTGAATACTCAACTCCACTGAGCTAGGAAACGCTATCATGAGTAGGTAGCTCGGTCTCCAGAAAACACGCCGGTTGCATAGTTCGTCGCTTCACGTACCTGTCATCACGTTCTTACTAGGACACGTGGCACCTATTCATTATGTCTCCGCACTGTAATAGCCGTTACACATTTACCAAAAAACATTTAAAAAGTCCCGCCGTTTTCGTGCCTCCACAAAACCCATTCCTTGAATCAAACACTCTTACTATTCACTTTCTCACTTGCAAATCCTCGCCTTTTGAGCTCCATCCCTGTTCTTCCTACACTCTAGTCTCAAACTAAGCTACTATACCGCCTACTTCATTTTCCTTCTGGTGCACCTACTGTAGATTGAAAGTTGTTGGTCATGCCCTGAATCTGTAAGTTCCTCTGTTTATTAATTTTTGTACTTTCAGTATTTATTCACCATATATGCATGTTATCCGTAACAGAGTATTGAGCAAATACCACAAACCCAAAACTTCACGCCTACGCGTAAAAACTCACTAACCAGATTTTAAATCAATGTCAAACATGATTTTTGATCCAAAATCGTGCTATGACCGAACTAGGAATTTGTTTGCAACCTTCAAGGTTGTACTTGACCGAACTAGTAACGCACTGATCACCAACCATGCTAAAAACCTTGAGTTGGCCTTACTGCATGGCCGAACTAAAAATGGTCTGTAACCCATTCGTAGCCGAGCTAGGCTTACTTTACATAGCTTATTTACTTAGCCCGGTCCAGTTACCTGGGCATAACATTTTATTTTCACTTTGTAGACTCGACTAGGCTGGCCAGGCACACCTTTGCACTTTGCCCCCGGGCATTTTCGCTCAACCGAGCTCACACCAGCACCGAGCTAGGCTATCGTGTGCATTTTAACAAAATCATTCTTTTAAGTTTAATAGGTAAATACCGGCTCCTAGTGGACTCGCCTGGAGCCATGGCCAAATTTTGAAGAGACTACCATATTCCTGATGATGTCCACCTCTCTTTAGCAGAGCTAGACACCACACCTTGGGGCAAATCGGGCTTCGTCCCTTTCACAGTGATATCAATCGTAAAAGCCGAGCTTCAGTTTCCCGTACAGCCTCTTGTATGCGAATTCCTTCGCCAAAAAAGATTGTGTCCAACTCAACTCTCCACAAACACTTACAGAATAATAAACAGCATTGCCGAGCTAAACCGCCGGCTCGGCCTCAACCTTAGATTGGCCGAGCTATTTCATCAATATTCTCTCGGCCAAAATGACGACGATTGGGTGTACAACCTCAGAGTAAGAAGAGGCCAAGAAAAAATCATAAAAAACGCACTGGACAAAGACTTGAATGATGACGATTTCCTTTGGGTTTCTGGTAAATACAATATAAACTGGAATAAAGAAGTTGCTAGTAAGCACACTTCAGTTCAATTTTTCTTTGCTGTTCCAACTAACCACCGTGCTAACTCGTTCCTTGTCCTTCTTTCTTGCAGATTTAAACCAGCTCAAATCACACTATACTTACACCAATTAGGACGCCCTTCAAGCCACACTTTGATATCGCACTGTGATTGGGCCGAGCTATTAAACTTCGAGCCGACCTACCGGTACAGTGGAAGGAGGAAAACTAGAGTCACCAACTTCCTCCTAGAACCTTCCCCCGAGCCAGATCCCACACTTCCCCAAATCAACCTAATTCCACTTATAGAAGAACAAGAAATGGCGAAAAGGAGGGCCGTGCGAGCACTCATCACCGAGCAGACCTCCGGTGAAGTGCAAACCGGGCAAGAATTATCTGGTCAACATTGTGAAACCGTGGTCACCCTTCTAACTGCCAGGGCTACTACATCTCGGCCAAGCAAGCGTGCACATACCTCATCTACCAAACCGCAACGCCTTATCGATGAGGACTCCATGCTTCCTAAAACTACACTGCCAAGCCCAGAGCCCGCATGCTTCGACCGAGCAAGCCCTTCAGAATGGGCACCATCAATGACTTACAAGAACCGTGCTGTAACTACCACGGATTCAGTGGTTGCTGACAAAGACCACATGCTTACTTTCAACCTCTCCAAAAGTGTCTGTCTGTCACCACCACGACCACCTAACCAAGCTAAAGGTCATCCGCTCGGCAACCAAGTCGATGGTGCTTGTAAGTTTTCTCCTTTCTACTTGTGTCGAATTTAACCCCATGTTTGCTCGGTTTATCCTAATCCACTTTCTCTTATGATACGCAGGCCCTGTAGAAAAACCATATGGCCCACAAACGCGTGCTTGAACTTCGCAAGATCGTACGGTCGGCCATGGCTGATGCCAATGCCAGAGCGACTGAACTGAAGGAGACCCAGCTAAAGTTGACCGAGCTAGAATCCGAAAACATTCGTCTGATCGAACTAATCAACACGGTTGTGACTGATAAACAAAAAACGCTGGCTGAGAAAAAGGATCGCTACCTGCGTGAATTGGCCAAGCTGGAAAAGAAGAAAAATGCTAAGATCACCGAGCTGAAGAAGAAAATAGAAGATGTTGAGGACCGAGGCTACAAAGAAGAGGAGGCCACCTATGTCTTGTAATGTGAAGCTACGAAAGACATTTTCTTCAAATGCAGGTAGAAGACGGCTGTTGTCAAGCTCGGTCAG